GGAAAACCATCAACTAACCATCAACCAACCTTCCTAACAAACTAACAGAATCCTAACAAACTTCTCAACAGAATTCAGAAAAGAAGGAAAAGGGATTCACCATCCTTTCTACTATATAACAGAAAGAGAGGAGAAATAACATAACAAATAGAAAACTTACAAAAAAGATCTTTCTCTAATCTAATCTCACTCTCTCCTCCATAACCATTCTTATTCCTTCCCTGCAAATGCCTTAACTACCACATCTCATCTTCTCCAAAAAAAATCTCCATAACCAAGCCTCTCTAAGTCTGATTCCGGCTCCAACCTTCCATAATCCTTCGATCAGTTGGAAAAAATCTCAAAGATTTCTCTTCTCTCTCTACTTCATCTTCATCTTTCTACAAAATTCCAATCATCATCATGCTCCAACAATAATCCTCGTATTGCTGCAAGGAGCTTCAACCTTCAACAAGAACTTGACTTCATCGGGATTTTCTCATCAATCCTAAAGGAGATAGCATCATGTTCCTCAACTCTTCAAATCTCGCACGCACACAACTTTAACATCAACAACAGAGCATAAACAAGAGAGATCCATAAACAGCAGAAACACAATCGAAACGATGTAGAAGAAGAAGAAAGGATCGAAGAAAGTAGAAGAAGGATTTGTACCCGCTATAGTCAATTTGGACTTTCTCTATGATTTCGCATCACGTCTGAAAGCGGAAGACGGACGAAATTTGCGAAGCTGCGGCATAACGGGACGGTGTGTTGATCGTCGCGATTCGAAAGGAAGGAAGAAGAAGAGAATCGATTTCTCTTCGTGGAAGTCGAATTGGTACATTCAAAATCCCTAACTCATTCCTCTTTCTATATCTTTTTAATCCTAGTTTGTTGTTTATCATTATTTATTTTTTATATTTTTTATAAGGGAATATAGTGAATATAAAGAAATATGGATTGAATAAAAATTGGTGAAATATGTTGTTGGGTTGGATTAACCGAATTAGTCATCTCCATAAGCCCATGCTTCTTTTTTTGGAGCCTGTTGTCTTGTGAATACAAAAAACGTGCTTATTGGATCATTTTCTGATTGGGCTTAGTGCATCATCTTGTTTGTCATACAATACCACTACCAGCAGCATGCACCCCCTGATTTTCTTGTTTTCCTTCTTTTTATAATTATTTTTAATTCTTTCTTTCATTATTTTTTTTAAATAACAAAAATACATAATAAAAATGGTAAAAATACTATAAGACATTTTAGAAGTTAATTAGGAATTTATCTTCCCTTTATACTAACTTTTTAGTCAATTTTAATCGCTAGTTTTACTCATTTTATATCATGTATTTCGTTTGCGATTTTTTGGTATCAGTTGTATGCAATACTTTAATACTTGCTGCCTAATTTTACGTGTTTGTATGTTCTTTCATGATCCCTTAGGTGATTTTGGTTCAAATTTAATCTTCGATTTAATTAAACTAAAATTAGACATTAGGCTTTTAAATCCAAGCATGCAAACATTAGGTAGAATTCCCTCGAAATTCCAACTTTAGGTCCATGATGCATAATAACATTAGGTTTAGAAATAGGCTAGTCTCCCTTTGACTTTTCTTCCCCTTTTGCATTTGCATTAAAACAAAAACTTCTTTTTCCTTTAAAACTTCAAAATACTTTAAAACTACTGATGAGAATCATGCCTCTGCTTAGTATGGGAAATGATAAGCGGGTCTCTTCTCGATCTTATTGTTCTTCCATCTCAAGCCTAGGTGTGGGTCAAGTCTCAAAGACTCCTTTCATGGATAAGTAGAAAAGTGGCTAATATCTCTCTCTTGAGGTCAACTAGTCATTATCTGCAACAAAATATAAACCAATTCAAACTTTTTGGTGCACCCAACACGTTTTCTCTAGAACCCTTTTCAGGTAAGGACATGATTAGTTTACTTCTGTGCCAACGCATAAGTCTCCAAAGGTCGAGCTGCGGCAGAAAGCGGAATTAAAATTGTCCATAAAAAACACAAACAAACAAAAACATGTGAGCCGAACTACGGTAGCTCTGATTCCTCAAAAAGGATACGTAGGCATTGGGGTACGGCCTAAGCGAGTACAACTTTATTTTCCCTACATTTTTTTCTCCTTTCTTTTGTATGCATTCTCCCTTTAGCTGTAATAAACAGTAAGCATAGTATAAACACACCCATAAGATTAGAATAACAAGAGTGGATACCGTAGAGTACTACGGGCGTGTGAGGTGCTAATACCTTCCTCTCGCGTAGCAGACTCCCTTACCTGATCTCTCGGTCGCAAGACCGTGACTTCTCCCTTCTCAGGTTTTCTCGATGTTTACCTTTCCCTTCATGTGGGATAAAAGACGTTCGATGGCGACTTCATTGTTTGATGATTTTCAGCCAGTTGCTTCAGCGGCTTGGTGGGCGCCACAGGCTCCATTATAGACTTCGACCATTGTCAAATATGCTTCAGTACCCAAGCACTTAAGTAAAACCCCTTCCAGAGTTTTCTTGAACAACTCATTGCCTATGCACACGTAGTTCAAAGCTTTGTATTTTACTTTCATGTCAGCATTTCCAAATGGATTTTCCAAATAATTCATAATTCGCTTTCGCCAATCTGTGTCTAACAAATTGTCACTGGAAAAAACTTCAAAATTTTCAAAACTCACAAATCATCTGCCCCTCAGTTGTTGGGATTAACAATTTGGATTATGGTGTCTTTGTCGAGACCACCATCTCCCTCACTTCGACAAAACTCTTCAGCTAGTCGATAACTTGTACCCAGAGGCAATTTGTGTCAAACCATTGGCCACATGAATTTTTTAATATGGGCACATGCATTATGTTTAAAACTTCAAACTATTCCAGAAATTGATTAACCAATGCAAAATACACAAATAAGTGTTCTTTAATGTGTCATACTCGAAATTTATCCTACCCTCATATCTTTTCTTTTGGCTTAATGCATTTCATTGGCATACTTTCAGTAGGTCATAAGCATAACATGAAATTTCATTCAATAAAGTATAATGGTTCAAGAGTTCGGTTGATTGTGCAATATTAGTGTTTCACGGTGTTTTGAGGCGTATATATTCAATAAAGTATAGTTCTTTCGGACACTTCTGATTCTTCAAGTAGTGAAGTGTGAATTGGGGTTATGGAGGTGTGGTTATCAGGAATTTCTTCTGCAAAGGCTATTATCTATCCAATTTATCAATGTCAAAGATTAAGGTTTATTTCTCTACACCGGGTCAAGAATATTAGGGTTTCATTGGGTTTTCTCATTGTCAAATCAAAGTGGAGGTTCATTTGGTGACTTGAATTACAAGTTATGTGTTTTAGAACTTGTGCAAGAGTTGGATGAAATATAGGGCATTCAAATGATGAGAAAATTAAAATAAGAATTCAAAGTTCAAAGGATGCACTCAAGAGGGCCATAATTAAAGTTTCTTATTCATGGTTCTTGAGATTGTTAGTCTTGTATTCATTTGAAGTTCATGGGATTTCACATCAATGTGTTCTTCTATACTTCAAGCTCTATTATTCATTCTCAAAAATTCCTCAAAGGCGGTATTGAACAAGACTAGGACCTTGATTGATTAAAATACAAGATTGAATCATGGTACAAAGGATGAAATTATGAGCAAGGCTTTATTATTTCCTTCATTCATTTGGTGCTTATTGATTTGGATTTGAAAATTGAATTGAATTTGGATTTATGGGTTGAAGCATTCATTCGAGTTTTTTAATGTGTTCAAGTTAATCAATATTTCTTAAACAAGAAAACCAATTCTGCATCAATTTAGAAATTTTCATCAACAAATGTGCAGCTTTGTTCAAAGAAGAAAACCAACAAAACTTGTTCAGATAAAAAGAAACAGTGCCCTGCAGTGATACAAACCAGCCAATGCATAATTTCAACCATAACAAAAAGCAGAAAATTAATTCAGAAACAATTTCTAGCTCAACAAAATATCTGAATTGGTGTGCAAACCGTGAGAGAAAAGAGAATAATAGAAAATATCAAAATTTCACAGCTAGCCCCCCACTCCCACAAAACAAGGGATTCATTCTTATCCAATTCCCTCTGCCAATTTTTCATTCTACCCTCACTCAATTGTCCTATATAACAGACCTCAATCCTCTCATTTCTCACCCAACAATACCTCATAGATTCATCATCATTTTTTTGACACAGAGAAAAACTCAGATCCAAAATTCCCAGAGAAAAAACTCATTCATTACAGATATTCGCGACAAACAATTCATAGAAATTTTTTCTCTCCTTATCTCTTACACTGAAGTAGATATTCATTCATACACACACAACAATCACCACAACAACAACACCATCATACACAACAAAATACACACAGATTTCACGCAGAGAATATAGAGAAAGCCGAGATATACATTTCACAAAGATTCATAGAAAATACAACGAAATACTCACCTTCATTTGAGAATCATTCTTCAACCACCTCAGAATAATCACAAAAATCTCATAAACTCTCTCTCTGCATAACTGCTACTGCGTCATCTTCAACGCAACTTTCATCGAACCTGCTTCATCATACCAACCGTTTCATAACCATTATCCACATCACACCTCTATCTTCACATCAATCTTCATCAATCCTCTGAACAGCATCACTAAGCTTTATCCACCTTCGTCGTCGCAACATCAATCATCTTCCTACGGAAAACGACGAACTGAATCGAAGAGAAAGATGAGGGTTGAGTTGAAGTGGAGAAGTTAAGAGAGCGAGCATTAACCGACGGACTGCAATCAGAGGTAAAAGCTGGACGAATGAAGATGATGAGACGGAGGCGACCAATGTCGTTATTGTTGCTCAGAGAAGAGAGGATGTGTCGCTAATGTGCTTGAAGAAGAACGTGAAATTGTGATTTCACAATCGAGTCCGAAGCACCACAAATCTTCCAACTCTAATCCTTTTCTAAATTTTTTTCATTTTATTGTTTTAATTTTGTTATATAGTTTTAATTCAATAATTGAAAACTAATTGGATAATTTGGTGATGGATCAATCTTGTAGGTTGATGGGCCGAGCACCACCATTCCAGATGCTCATTCTTTGTTTTTGGCACAACCTTCCTTGCAAACAGAAGAAAAAAAACTCTTTGTGGATCTAGATCCGATGGGCCTAGCGCCAAGTTTTTTCTGTGCACTACAAGAATCATAACTTGCACCTCCTGATTAATACTTACTTAGAGTATTTTGTTTTGTTTTTTATCTTATAATTTTATCAATAATTTTTTACATGATTTTAGCTCTCTTTTGATAACAAAATATGATGAGTAATGTGTAGATATTAGTCATGATTTTAGAATTTCTCAATTCTTGTCCACAAAAAATGATAAGCATGCATTTGTTTCTTTTGATGATCTAATTGAATTTTTGGGTATTCTTTCTTGATTCTTTGTGCATGATTTTTGTGTGACGTCGTTGAGTAGAAAGATCTTGGTTGAGAAATTTCAAGAGGTTTTCGAAGAGCGTAAAATCCATCAAAGAAGTTCATCAAAGAAGTTCAAGGGAGCCTTTCGTAGATTTTTCCTTATTGTTTGTGCAGCTTTGAAAAGGCATCAGATCTTTCTCCGTTAGGTACCACTTGGACCTCTTTTTATCTATCTTTCCGCACCATTCTAGGTCTTGAATGCTTGCTATATTCATATAATTTAGTGTGCATCTGAAGACCTACCCCCGTAGGCATTGCGAAACCGTGTTTGTGGCATAACATAGTTGCATAGTACATGAAATCTTGTTTATGGCGTGTTCTGAAATTGCGTTTGTATATCATGTGCTACTACTTTGTCATATCTTTGTGAATGATTTGGTTTCATTTGTTTGATTGATTCTTCTTATGCCTATTGTGTACCCATCCTTGTTGAACCCTAATTATATTTTGATCAATCTTTTGAGCCAATTCTTGAGATGCTTTGTTTGTGGATCAATAATTGAGGAAGTATATATTCAAGGATAGTCCCTTGAGGACTTGAGAATCTTTTGACTTCATTTGATTTATTCTCCTTTCACTTTCATTTTGAACATGCTTCTTGTCTAATTGGGTGTTGTTGCTTGAGATACAAGGTATGCACTTGGTGCAACCTATAAGGAATCAAATTCCTTCTTTCTTTCTCTTATCCTCACAACATGTTATAGGTCTTAAGTTCATCTTAATTGAACCATTTAAGCACCTTAACATTGCTTCTTTACTTGCTTAGTCTTTGAAGTTACTTGTCCATCTTTGAGACTTTGATTTGGAATGCAATTGTGCAATTAATCTTTGATAATCATGAGTCTAAATTGATGTTAATAATTTGAGGTTACTTTATACCTTTAATTATAATTTCTCTTTAACTTTCTTATTTTATTCTTTGATTAACATTCAATTGTTAACTCATAATGATGACAAAGTAGAAGCTACACATCCATCTCTTTATTTGAGCTAGTTTTTTATTGTTAATTGGTGAAACTCATAGAGGTTTGTGATCCAACTTTTATGCTTGAATCTTGATTTCATCTTATCTTCTCATCTCAATTCTTCCATGCTTCTACGGTCCTTTTTGTTAGGCATTCATTTTCTAATCAACATGGTGACACTTTAGAAACTATATCTTCTTTATTACTTAAGCTTTTGAACATAATCCTTATTGAATTCTTTCCATAATCTTGATCCATGTCCTCTTTCTATTATTTGGTGTTGGATACTGTCCATAACACCTAAGTACCTCAATCTTTGCTCACTTTCTTGATGAGATAATTTACAATGCTTGTCTTACTCTATGGACGACATCTTTGCTTATTTGACTTGTTTTCTTGAACCAAATTTTTGCATGATGTTTTGGGTCACATCTCTTGACTGTTCTTGACTTCATATTAAATCTTGCTTATTATTCAAGTCACTTCACCCATATTTACTTATTTTAGCTTGCTTTCATCTCTTACTCACTTGGATGATGTTGATCTTATGCATTGTTAGTTTACCTTGAAATTTGAGTATGCTAACTTGATAGCATTTATTATAGTTTAGAGATTATGATTGATGTTATATTATGGAGTTTTCTACTTTCCTATGACATATAAGTGTCTCCTTTCTTAATCTTTGCTCATCTTGCTTGATTTAGGACAAGTGATTCCTATCTTGGATGATGTTATTGTTGGTTAATCAAATTGTTTGACTTTGCTTTGTGTATGGAGCTCTACCAACCTATTTTGTTACTCTTGAACCTCATCTTGAGTTAACTTCTTGCATAAGTCATACATTCCATAACATCATTTTTATGCTTTCATTGTTTGATCATTACTTGCCTAAATCTTCTTGAACTTGCTTGCTTGTTTGCTTGACTTCTTTGATCTAACTTTGGTTGGTACTTGACACTTCTTATTCCATCTTCATGGCTTGCCTTATTAAGTATTACTTGGTGTTGTTGCTGCCCTATTTTTTCTTCCATCTTGTATGCTTCAATTTGCTCTTGTATGGTGAGCCTTGAACTTGCTTGCTTGTCATCTTCATTCCTTTGCTTGCTTGTTTGATAACATGTTCCCTTAGGATGTTGATTCCATCTTGTTCAAGGTGAATCAATTAGACCCTAGTTTCTTACCCAAGCATGTCAACATTAGGTACCACCCTTCTATCCTCAACCATAGGTTCATCTTTGCATGATAACTTAGGTAGAGATTTCTATTTTCAATCCTAACTTTAGAGCCACCATTGCATGACAACTTTAGGTTTCTTTTTCAGATTCCTCTTAGTCCTTTTTATTTCTCTTTTGCATCCATTCTAAAACTAAAACTTCTTTTCTTCTCAAACTCTTAAAACACTTAATAACTAATGATGATAAGCACACTTTCACGAGCCTTAAGCAATGGAAAAGGATGAGTGGGTCCTTTCCCGAAGCTTGTTCTTTCTCTATTCATAGTCTTTTGTGTGTTTGAAATCACAAACTCCTTTCACCAAATAACAAAAACACAAACAAACCAAATGTAGCACTTTTTCTTGAGGGCGTAACTTAAAATCATTTCTAAAGGGTTCGTCACCAATAAAAACACACAACAAACCAAAAACATTTTTGAGGTGAACTACGAGTGCCCCGATCCCCTATTGCGTGAAAGGTAGTATATAGGCATAAAGGTTCGCAACTGCGGCGGGCGCACTAATAAAAACTTTATTTTTGTAATACTTTTGCATGCATGCATTCCCTTAGCAAGTTAAGCTTTATAATAAACACACCCTTTGATTAGAACAACAAGAGTGGATCCAGTCGAGTACGACGAACATGAGGGGTGCTAATACCTTCCCCTTGTGTAATCAACTCCCGTACCCTTTCTATTGGTCGCAAGACCTTGATTTATCCTTTCTCAGGTTTTCTTTGATGTTTTATTTTCCCTCCTTTTGGATAAATAAATATTCGATGAAAACTTCTTTGTTTGATGATTTCTCTAGTTGCTCATAATGCATTTATACTCTCGAGTGAGTTGTTTAATCACTAGCTCCAAATCACCTTTGGTTTCGACCTTTTTTGAACCTAAGTCTTCCAAAAGCTTAAGCCTAGTAATCAAAGCTTCATACTCTGCTTCGTTGTTGGAACACTTTCCATCTATCCTACATTTGAATTTTGTTGGTATCCCTTTTGGAGAGATAATCAGAACTCTGGCACCAGTTCCATTCTTATGGCTTGACCCGTCAAAATACAATTTCCAAGGGTCGATGCCTATCAGATTCACTGATGGTCCGACTATTGCATGATCAAGTATAAAGTCTGCCACGATTTGGCCTTTCATGGCCTTCAAAGGCATGTAAAATAATGAAAACTCAGTTAGGGCTAGTGCCCATTTGTCAATTCGACTATGCAAAATGGGTTTTGACAACATATGTTTAATGACATCACAATGAGACGAAACATAAACATCAACTAATTTAATATATTGCTTAAGCTTAATACATGAGAAATACAAACATAAGAATAATTTTTGTATCATGTTATTCCTAGTTACTGTATCTATTAATACTCGACTAAGGTAATATATGGGTCTTTCGACTCCATTATCATCCTATTGGGCTAACATGCTCCATCTTGTTAAATCAGATGTAGATATATACAATCTCATGTTCTTATTTCTACTAGGTGACAATAAAATGAGAGGCTTTGTCAAATATTCTTTGATTGCGTTGAAAGCCTCTTGTTGCTCCTTTATCCAATGGAAGTCACTTTCCATCTTGATCTTCACTAATGGCGAGAAAACCTTCATCTTTCCACTTAGATTTAAGATAAATCTTCTCAATAAGTTGATTTTACCCAACAAATATTGCAACTGTTTCATTGTCCAAGGCGGCTTGAGATCCAAAATTGCCATTTTTTGCTTTGATTGATCTTGATGCCTTTCTTGTGTACTATAAAACCTAAAAAGTCTTCTGTATGTACATAGAAAGCACATTTTAGTGGATTCATTTTCAATACATATTTCCTCATTCTTTCAAAGGATCGTCGAACAAGGTCTAATTGACCATTCTCAGATGATGATTTTATTACGATATCATCAATATATATTTGCATTAAATGTTATATGAAATCATGAAACATAGAATTCATTTCCCTTTGATAGGTTGCTCCGACATTTTTCAAACCGAAAGGCATTACCACCCATTCATACGTTCCTAATGCCCATGGGCATCTGAATGTCGTCTTAGGCACATCTTCATCTGCTATAAAAATCTGGTTATAGCCAGAATAACTATTGAGCATGCTAAGATATTCATACCATGCAGCTAAATCGACTAACATTTTTGTTACAAGCATCAAATAGTCATCCTTAGGGGTAGCATTATTCAAATCCCTAAAGTCTATGCAAACTCCAAGGGTTCCATTTTTCTTAATAACAAGAACAATTTTTACTAACCATTTGACGTACCTTGCAGTTCTAATGAACTTGCTTTTGAGTAGCCTTTCAATTTGTTGTTTGATCTTCAAGGTGATCTCGGGAGCGAATCTCATAGGATGTTGATTTATTGGCCTCTTGCCTGGCTGAATAGGTAAGTGATGTTCCACCATATTCCGACTTAATCCAGGCATCTCACCATAATCCCAGGTGACATAGTCTTTGTACTCTTTTAACAACTTGATCAACTTGACTTTCATTTTCGACCCAACTTTGGTGCTGATGTAAGTTGGTATCTTTGTTA